GGGGGGGGGGGGGGCCCTTAGAGTCTGTCGCCATGGAAACCAGCTTCGCAAGAACACTACTGCCATGTTATATAATAGCAGGCTTTGGTTTGAAAGCCTAGACACAGTTCTTATTAGTGATATAGTCAAGTCATACTTAACTTTTACACAAAAGACGCAATGTTTTTGTTATCAATTGATTCTTGTGTTAGTTAACGACAACTTTTCTTCCGCTGCGTACGTTATGTATAATCGAGGCCTATTTCAAAATACTGTTTCACAATTTGTCTCAAGGTACTGAGGGAAATGTAGAAAACCTGTGAGGATATACAGTATCGAAATAAATGCTAGCCATTACACCATGACGTTCGCTTAGTGTCATAAATATTATTACTCTTATTATATTATTATTAAAACTAAGGTGTTTGATTTCTATACCATGTTTACATTAGCAACCGTATTTACTGAATCACTAAAACCTGCCTGAATAACTTATATATTTAGCATACAATATTTGTCTTAAATCGTACTTTGTATTTGTGACGACAGATGCTGACGTAAATCAAATACAATTTGTTGTAATGGAGGGATATTTACAATTTCCAAGGTACCTCAGGGCATTAAACGAAGATTCGACATGGAATTTATTTATGAACATGTATGAATTAAAATAAATAATATTGGTAATTTAAATTTACTTTCAGGGGATCATTAATTCTCTCCAGATTGTGAACTCAACATTATTAAATGTTATTTTAATTCTCAAAACAACAGTCAGAGCCGTTTAAAATCACATTCTTATTCATTCTGAAACTTTAAATTTAGCTAAGTATTGGCATTTTTCTCTCCCACACAGTTTCTCATATTTTAAAAATAGTATATTTAAGGATATTTTAGTACACATAAGAAACAAATCTGCTTAACATTGCAATATTAATCTTACTATCTTAAAGTGGTTAACTCTACCCTTAAGAGAGACAGTTTATGTTGGCTAAATCCTGTGGATGACGAAACGGAACTATCCTTGAAATATATTGCCAAATTTAAAAATAACGAACACACAGTCACCTAAATATAACCGGCCATAGTTTTATCGCGGAACCACAACTTATTTCAGAACCCTTAACACATTATTTTAGTTCTGTCATTAAATTTCCGTCCTGTCAAAAAAGGAGCCCCGCCCTAGATACAAGCCTAATACCTTCGAAATAAAATTCAGACGCGTTATAAAGTAAGAAAGAAAGAGGAAAAAAAACGTGAAGAAAGTAAGAATCGAACAGTCCCCAATGACACTCTATCCTATTCTCCTTTTACTAATCTGATTGATATTATCATCTTTAATGTGACTTTTTATAAATTAAATTAATAACTCGTCAAATCGAGTAAGTCAGTAATGCCTTTATACTGAGTTTCAAATATTAACTTCATCTGACGAAAGGACTGAATTGATTAAAGACACAGAATTGCATATATTTCGTGATTCTGTACAAATTCGATGCAACTACAATATAGAAGTAGGAGATAGCTAACTTGTTGACAATAAGAAAGAACGGAGAAGTTTACCTCAAACAAGAAATAAAAATTGAGGAAGCGAGAAAAGTTTACATTGCTGGAGGCGGATTGTAGTATAACAAGAGAACGTTTGGAAATGCCTACATTATTTACCCAGAAAAATTACAAGTGGTACGTCGTTTCTCGCCTGTATCCGCGTTCCTTCGCGTTGCCTTCGTGACAATGCTACGTGGAGTATCGTAATGCCAACCGAAAGCGAGGTGGAAGAAGTCTAAGATAGCTCCAGGGCTATTCCTACTATCTGTCTATCTCGCCTCTTAAAGATCTGGCAGATTAATTCAGCAGCATCTGACTTGTATTCACCCGTGTTTAATCCTCTATTTACAATAAATTATGTACAGTGTCAACAAACCCGAATTATTTTCAGTTAATTTAATTAACTATGCTTTATTAATTGCATTGATTAGCCTAATTAGCGTCAAAGATGTTTAATGACGCTTTCAGTAACTCAGAAGCATCGGATCAGGAAATGTAAGTAAATAGCTAACCGGAGAGGATGTGGAAGGAAGCGGTCGATGCCTAATTTGAGATACTATCCCGGGATTTTCTAGGAGAGACTGAGGAAAACCACGAACATCATATTACGATAGACGGTCTTCGGGCCGACATTTGAACCCGGAACCTCCCGAACACGAAACTGGATTATTAAACACTCGACCACGTCAGGTAGAAGTGATGTTTTGGTGATACAGGATTTGAGACTTTCG